CTATCAATCCTTAGATGGGTGGGCTGGGTCTGATTTTCTTCTGCAAGTGAAAGCTTCAAAGACAGAAACTGTTGAGCTGGGCTTAGAACCATCACCTCTCTAAAATGACATCAGGACCTATCAGAAATACAGTCTCTGAGATGTTTTTCCCCCTTACAGAACTACTTTGACAAAACTGCGCAAGATTTTTTTAATTTCTTTTTTTTTTTTTTAAGAAGTTAAGATTATTCAATACTATCCTTGAAATCACGGATTTGTTTATTTCAAAACAAGTTTGGGAAAAGTATAATATCCCTGTTCATGCCTACCTTATGCATACTGACCTATGCAGTAAATTAAACACCTGAGCCCCAAATATCAGATGCTAACTCTAATGCAGAAACCATAAAAGTTCAACTGTATTTTGGGCTATATGATTTTGTCATGATTCTGGTGCAAAAGAAAAAGCTGTCCTGTTTTGCTCAAACCTCTCATATATATAATTTACATTTGAGTAAAATCTGCAAGGAGGTCTGGTTTGCATGTTTTTATTATTATAACAAAACATACGTGGAGCTCTGGACAAAAATGTGATTTTTAAATAGTCCAAGAGCCCTGTAGGAATAAGATGTGGGGGCTGTGGCTTTTTTTTGGGGGGGGGGGGGGCTTTCATTTGAATGTATAAAAAAGAATGGAAAATTATTCTTTCAAAAAGGAACTTAATTTGCCCCCCAACCCGCTCTTTTTTTTTCCATCTGAAATTTAGGTCTGACTATGTATCTTAGACAATTCTATGATAAAGGTGAATGAGTAAGTTTATCAGGTAAACAGAAGTGTCATTTTCTGGAAGGGTGAAGAATTTGTAATTCAGATTTTCTAGAACTATTTTAACTGGTTTTCATTAACACATATAGTAACTAGGATATTTTTAGAGAAAAATATTTCTTAGTTTGCTTTTCTACCTCCTTCAGGCTAGTGCTGGAAAGGTCCCTACATACGTTTCTGAGTCATCCAAAAAGATTCCCCACCACTCCTCCCTCCCTCAGAAAGGATGTACAAATTTGGCATTTATGTTCTACAAAGTGGGAAAAAACCCAAACAAATCTGTCCCTTCCACCCTCTTTCTTTTGTTTGGAGGGAAGATTTTAAACCAGCAGAACTTAACACAATCTTTCTTATCTTTAACCTGCACTCCCCCCACCCCCACCCCAGCCTTCTGCACAGCTTAACCTTTAAGTTCTGTTTGCCTGGTATCTGAGGCTTTTCTTTCAGATGGTGGTCAAAGACGTTTAGTCTTAGCACTTACTGACTGTCATATCTGACATTTCAATTGTTATGCATGCACATTTATAAGGTCATGCGTTCTAAGGTGACACATTAAACTCTAGAACAAAAACAATGAAACACATTTTATGAACAAAGTCCGATAACTTAAGAGTGTGGCTATAATGGATTTAATTATAGTTAAAGTAAACCAGAAATACCAAATTCAAAATTAATTTTAAAATGAATTCATTAATCAAATATGTATTAATCAATCTAATGAAATCACCTTTTCACTTTCTAATGTCTTCATTAGACCAACAGCCTAATTTATCCAGGGAGACTCCATTCATTAGCTTCAAGCATATAGTGCTGTTCCATTCTATATAAGCAGATGTTAAATATGGGTAAAATCCAAGCCATGTTGAAGTTAATGTGATTTTTTTATTACTTTCCATAAGACTGGGATTTCCCCCTCTTTTCTGCATTCATTTACAAGAAATGAGTCACTTAGTATGCATAAAGTACTTAGCGCTTTGGTTTTGTTCATGGATATAGATAGCTACTGTGTGTGGTATATATTATATGCATGTGTGGTGTGATGCAGACAGTAACAGCGACAGCGTAATGGAACTCCATTTCCAGAAACTGAGGAGCTGCACATGAATGTCTCTGGGGGTTGCAGACTGAAAGTTGCTCTGCCTGCAGATAACATCACAGGTTAAAGGCAGAAATATCAGACTTAACCACTGTACAAGTTCAAAGGAGAAATACTAAGGACCTGCTTTAAAGGTAAGGTGCTAGAATGGAGTATATGGTATGCTAAGACTGTAGTAAAAACTGTTTAAAAATCTTGCAAGTTTCTTTTTCTCTGCTATAATATCTACAACTGAAACTGACTGTACATCTTTTGGCTTTGTTTAAGTAAAAATGGATGGACTTTTAGACAGAATTATGTTATCTTTTGCATTTATTTTTAACCTTTTTCTATGTGGAAAAACAATAAATAGAGTTTGATGTAAAAAGGTTTTGCTATCATTTGCATAAATATAGGGTAATGGCTAAAAAACCTTATTTAGCCCATAAACCCGAAACTCTAATCCAGCCTTTTCTAGATACTGTATCGAGTGAACAATATTTATTATTGAAAGGTACTGGAGAGAAAGCTGGGGATTGGACTTCAAAAATGCTCAAATCACCCTGGCAAAATGAATTAACTAACTCTTTTCATCTCTGAGATTCCCAGTTGAGAGTTTCTTGCCAGTCTTAAATAGATTCTAGTGTCTCCCTTGAAAAACTAAATAGCAACGAGTACTTGACTATTGACATTTTTTACTTCATGGGAGTAATGAACTTTACCTTGGCCTAGCTTGTCATGCTCTTATTCACATCAAGTTTAAGTAGCTCTCAGTATGACTGAAGTTAATAAACTAGCTTGTAATGATCTTAGCATAGAAATGTTAGGCCATCTGCTTCCCACTGAAGCTCATTAGGACTGCAGGAGGCAGGTATAATTCAAGAGGCCTAAAGGCATCAGAATGCAGTGTTAATTTTGTCCCGCAGGATCCCAAGGTACTGTAGAAATCAAGGGACATTTCCTGATCTTACTCTGAGGCAAGGGAAAGACTTTCCATTGCGATCACTTCCTACTGCCCCTCTGAAAACTGGGAGGGAATACAGGAAACCAATGTGCACAGTCACAGCCACAGAAGCTTCACATCGCACAGGACGAGGACCCCGCTTCGGGCAACCCTGACGGCTTGATTCAGAGGTTACCCACAGGACTATCCTCTTGGGAGATCATGTTGTTATCTCAGCACCATCTCTTTGACTGCTACCACTTAGCTGCTCGGCTGCTTGTTAACAGTATCTGGGGGTTTCCCTTTCCCCACAGAGTAGGATTGAATGGTTCAGCTCTCCTATGTGCTTTCCAAGGACACTCCCCCAAACCTGCCTCCCCCTTATCTGCTTCATTTACCAACAGCATCACTCTAATATCAGTGAGCTTATTTTCTACCCACCAGTTCAGCAGAAAGCAGGCCCACAGAAAGCTGCCCCAGAAACTAGTGGTTAAGTTGCCTGACCAAGCAGATAATCAGGTACTGAGGATGGAAACTGGCTACTAAATGTTTATACTAGTGCACAGCTGCTGAGATACCCAAAAAGCATCCTTCCCCCTTCCCTCAAGCTTCCTAACAAGCCCAAAAGGCAAACCAGTACATAAAAACTGTCACCAAATATTTCATGGATGTGAAAAGGACGGGCAAAGAATGACAAAAAATTCTCTCATCCATTTAATCCAAAATCCATTTCCACTCAAGTCAGGGACCAGTTCTTTCAGTGCTTAGCCACTTTAAGCAGCAACGGTTAAATTCACATTTGTGAATGCAGTATGTCCGCAGGATGCTTGTATCGAGTACCAGCTTACCCCTTAATTTCACCAGTAAGAGTCTTCTTGGAGGGGGATGGGATATCAAATATACTTTCTGTTTTCCAATCCAAGTCTAATAAAATAAATGATGCGTAGCAAAGTAAATTTTCTTTGAGCCGATCTTAATTTCTACTGACCCGTACTTTGGTGCAGATAGGAAGACCTTGATATGAGGTCGTGTGGGAGTGATTTGATCTGAAATATAGAAATGATTGTTTGCAGAACTTTAGTGAAAGTGAAAAGTATTGAACTCAATAAATAAGACTGGCAGTGCATTAAGTGGATATAGCAACAATCTCCACATAGCTTCTGATGCTGTTTGAGCTATGCTCCTTTTTCCAAATAATGGCACAAAGCCAATAAAAAAAGGTTACTTAGAGGGAACATGTGTTTTGACCCCAAAAAAGCAGGATATTAATACCAATTTGCATTTGTAACTGTTTCTTTAAGATTAGGACTAGAGAAACATGAAAGCTATTTTTTTCCAGAAGAGTCTGAGACCACAAAACCAAACAGGAGCTCTGACTTGCTGCCCCTGGGGGAGGGGGCTGGACTCGATGGTCTTCCAAGGTCCCGTCCAGCCCTAATGTCTATGAAATCATCATTCACTGAAGAGCCACAGATTATTTCACAACCCCTAATCAGTGGGTAGTAATTTATGTAGGTCTCCAATACCCTATTTGATGAGGATGGATCTGCTGCACAGTCACCGACCTCACATGGGACCTCATTTTGAACGTATCAAGAATCGATATATAATCTATAGTAAGTTTTACACAAGATGATTCTTATTTTTCTTTCGAATAATTAACTTCAGGCCAAAAGATCCCATTTTAAAATCACCTGACAGGGTTTTTGGGGGAGCGGGGGGTTGTTTGTTTCAAGAGCTTTCCACAAGAAACCACACTATAATCCCTGAAGTCTGAGGAGCATGAGGGGGCTCATATCTCATTATAGGGGTAATAATATAATGGCCTTGTACCTTTTACACCAAATGGAGGAATGATGTAGCACCCTGAGACAGCAGTCAGGACAGTTTTTCAGGGCAGTAGGGCCTGCACAACGTAACAGTCCAGAAAGACTCAAGCATTCCAAGGCACATTCATCAAGATCGCCCCTCGATGGTATATTTGTATCCTTCAAGGCGTTACCTATTGGGAACAACCTAGCCCTGGTCAGACAAAACCCATAATTGAAAGAAAAACATTTCCACTGAAGTCAGTGGACATCTTTCCACCCACCTCTAGATCCCTTTGCTTGAGTGTTAACTCCTAAATTCTGATTTCCTCAGTGTGAATCTAATTATGTTTTCTTACTTTCCAGAAACATGGAAACTGTGAAGAATGGTACTATTAAATTCTACGTGGAATTAGTCCAGTTAGTAGTGTACATTCCCACATTTACTGTGGGAGTGATATTCAATGTGTTGGCTTTGTGGTTTGCCTTCTGTAAGATCAGGAAGGCAACGGAAACAGTTATCTACGTGGTGTCGCTTATCATTCTGGATACCTTGCTGCTGTTTACTCTTCCTTTTAAAATCATTTCCTATCATCAACCAACTTGGCAACTGGGAACTGTGTTCTGCTCATTCCTGGAAAGCCTTTACTTTATAAACATGTATGGCAGCATTCTCATCTCTGTGTGTATTTGTGTGGACAGATACATTGCTATCAGACACCCATTCTTAGCTGTGACCCTGAGATCTCCCAAAAAAGCTGCCATTATCTGTACTGTCATCTGCTCAGGAATCTGGGCTGGAGCTGCTAGTACGTTCCAACTGCATGAAGACAGTGGTGCCAGAAATTCATGCTTCTATGGTTTCTCTGATAAGACATGGCAATCCACAGGTTTGTTTGTTACCCTGGAGACTGCATTTCTTGGAAGCGTGGCAACAATGATTTTCTGCACAGCTCACATCATCATATATTTGAAGAGGAGGGAAGACCTATATAATCCACTTACTAACACAAGTAAATCAGTGAAGATCCTCACAGCAAACTTGATCACATTTGTAGTCTGCTTCACCCCTTTCCATTTGGCACTCCTCTTGTATGTTTTGGTAAAAAATCAGGTAATTAATGATTCTGAACAAATCACACGCTCCTTTGTTCAAATCAGCCTCTGCTGGGCTAACCTCAACTGCTGCCTGGATGCAATTTGCTACCATTTCGTTTTTAAGGAGTCTTTGAAAAACATGCTTCCAGAACATGACAGAACAATCAGCAGTGATTAATCATTGTTGCAAGACTCAATCATTTTCAGACCTGGTAGGAAAAAGCCTTCTAAAGCTGCCAGCCCTTCTAGTTTCATAGATTATTTTTACCTTAGGTACCAGTGAAAACTCCCTGACACAGCCACCCAAGGAGGGAGCAAAAATGAATTGCCAAGTTGAAGTAGCTCCTTAACCAACGGTCAAATAAAATGATACTGAAAAACCAAATGTTTACTTGAAACATTATTGGCTCCTGGAGAGATGCTTCAGTTGAAACTGAGGGAGCTCAGGACAGTTCTTGTGGTACCTAACTTGAGACAATTGGGCTTGAAAAGCATCTTTGAAATTTTAAATTCAGTGAAAACTGCACTAAGATCCATCTTCAAGAGACTTTTCTTAATTTGTACCCTTTAGAGCCTTGTTTTGTGTTCTTATAAACCAGAAAGGAGAATCAGAGTTGTAGTCTGTAAGTAGTGAAATTTTCCAACCATGTGTGGCGTCCCTTGTTTCAAATGTTTGTGTTAATTTTAGAAACGGTTCCAAATTAAATCTCAGAAGGTAAGGATCCTCTTTACACAGCCAATGGCATTAAATCCTAATTCTACTTACCTTTCCCACACTGGGCGTGTCTACATGTGCTATTAGCACACAGCCATAAACATATCGCACTGGCGTTTATTGCTCCCAGGTGGGCCTTTTGAACATGCACACAGGACTGAAGCACACTGAGCCAGGTTGGAGCAGCCCCAGCATGTAGGAGGCCCGGTGGGTCAGCCTGCCAACTCGGGACTGCTCCAACCTGGCACAATGTGCTGCAGAGGGGCTGGCTGGCTGCCTCTGCACTGAAGCACCCTCATGCCCCAGACAGCCACGTTGGTATCTACACATGGACTACTGTGGAGTAAAAAACTCTGCAGCAGGATAGTGCTCGTATTTACAAGTATTACCCTGCTGTGAAGTTAATTTCCTAATAGGGCCACATGTGAAGATATGACACATTTACTGCAGGGCTAATTAGTCTACTCTGCAGTCAACGTCTCTTGTAGGCACACCCACTGAGTAGTGTATTACTTAACACACTCATATTAACTACAACAGGACTTCTCAGAGACTTATGTACTTCTTAACAAAAGTAAAGGTTGAGCAAGTCCAACACTCTAGTAGCAGCCAAATACCCTGATGGATGGAAGCTGCCGGAAGGGAAGGAAATGCTCTGAATCAACAGTCTCCAAATGTCTTAAGTCATGTCCTTTCTTGACCCCACTGCCCATTTACTAGGATGTGTTGTCCAAGTGCCAGCCCACTGTGAAGGCTGAATGCTGAGAGTTTTCAAAGCCACCAAGAGGATTTAGACTTAAAACTCCCATTAAAATGAGGGGTTATGCCTTTAATCTAAATACCCCCAGCAGCTTCAAAAATCCCAGCCCCAGCCAAGCTGTCATTTCCAGTTCTCCATCTCATCAATTTCCTCAGTATCAGCTTTTCATATAGGTGTTTATTGTCCATGGTTGGCTGCAACCTAGGTCTCTAAACAAAGCCAGAAACAAAAATCAAGCAAAAGCTATACCTATGAAAAATGAGCTTCCAGCAATGCAAGTCCCAGTATCTGAGCGGAAAATGTATAATCTTAGGATGCATATGTTCAAAATTATTTGGGTTCCAATAGCAATAGCCACCAGCATAAAAATCCAAGCAACTAAAAACAAAATTCTTAGGGTTCTGAGGGATTTACAAAAGCCTAAATAAACAAGGCAATAAAGTATCCTTCCTACTCTAAAGATTGCCTTATCTGTTTTGTTATTAATCACATGAGCAAACTGATTTCATTATCTTTTAACACCTCCTAGTCATCTTGGAGGATATGGCCCACCTGTAGAGGATGTACCACTTTGTAATTCCAGCTACTACACTTCTGTGAATGCAAAGAAACTGGACTAGATCCTCTGCATACGAATACTGGTATAACTTCAGCCAGTATAATGGAGTTGCTCCAAATTTTCCTGGGGATCAGGTCTATTCTGCTGGCCAAATTACTCTTGCTTTATAATATAACTTAGACCAGATTCTGGCCAGAATGATCCAACTGGCAAGATGAAGTTTCGTCCCACTCAAAAGTGCATTTTCCTCCCAGCATGGATTAAACTGCATGGATACATGTAGAATGCAACAGTCCATTTTCAGTTCTCTCTATGTGTAGTTGGTTTATATTTGGTCCTCCTAAACTAGTAGTGAAAATAAAAAAGCTGAACTACACAGAGAGGAAAGACTAAAATTCACCAGTCTTACTTCTTACATCCATAAAAATAATGCGACATAAAATCTGTTTGGCAGAAGCAATTAATTTATATGTCCCTGATGAGTTTGAAATTCAGTATGTTCAGCCAATAAGAGCCACTAAGTCAAAAATTAATTCAGGTTTTTCAGCACTCTATTAGGAGGGCTATGAACAAACTCATTAATAGTCATTACTATGATCTTGGGTTTGATGCCTCTCACATGGAAAACCAAAAATTCTTTTGATTAAATTTTAGGTAAGACAATTTCCATAAGGTCACTTATTGAGAAAATGATTATAAACATCGCACAATTTGTAACTCATGCTGCTGTTTAGGTTTTGGAGGTCACTTCCAGGTCACCAATCTTCCTTTAGGTAACATTTCAACTAATGAAGGGTGCTACTTATAGATTTTGAGCTACAAATTTATGTAGCACAATAAGAATATTCAACACCCATGCCAGGGAATAGACACAAAATCCATCAGCACTGTAATGAGGGCAGCGCTGCTCTATAAGCGCTCAGGATGACACCACTTCGACAAAACTTGCAAGCTTGACTGCAGTATGACACTGAAGATAGAATCAATTTGTAGAATCTTTAATTTGTAAAGTAGCCATTGACTGACTGAGCATCAGTAGATTGAAGAGTTTTATTACTGAGATTTCAGGTTCCTTTTAAAAGCACTATTAGCAAATGCTGACAGTAAAGCATGTGCTGAAACAATTGAACTGTAGTCACACAGGACCAGGCAGAGAAGACCTACTATTTAACTGATTATATTTGAATTCAGGTAATATAAAAATATCATCAATGCCTTCTAAGGACAGAAAACTCTAGTCTGTAAAGATACTCATGTCAGTTACATAAATGTAATTTCAAGAACCTCATTGTTTTTGGTGCTGTTACTCTGGACTTACGTCAGTATAATTGAGGTCAGACTCTGGTCTCTAATTTATACAATTTCAATGTTTTTTTCATTTCCAGATGTACCCACTTTTACCATTTAGGTCAAACATGTTCAAATAGAAGTCACTGCAGTTGTAATGCCATTTAAAAGTCTGATGGAAGATTATAGTAATCTCTTGCTTTTTCAGGTACCTCCCATAACATTATAAGCAAAGCATTAACACATTTCAAATTAGCCATAGTTAGCATCGTTTCAGAACTGCTTGAATGTACTCAAGCAATTGTTTTCCTCTCTCAGGTTTCTCTGGTTTTCATGAGCATTCTTGTTATTTCCTGAAGGGTTTTGCAGTCTGTGAAATGGTCCTGCTAGATGAGGAACTAGGAATCCTGGTCTTTCTTGGTATAATTGTGGGCGATGAGAGTTTCGTCAGTTTGATGTATAAATTCTGTTTTTACATATCTGAGTCATGTGAGTTCACATATGATTTCTAAGAAAGAAAGGACTTTCTTACACATACCATAAATTAGAGTTCCTCTCTCAGCAAACCCTTCCCTGGTGGAAATTCTGACCCCCCGCCTTACTATATAGGTATTTAAACTGAAAGCAGGATTTGGTCCTGGCAACAAGAAGAGACTAAGCAGCAGGCTGTACAGTGCCTAGTACCCACACTAACCAGTCTAAGGGTAGCTTATCTCTACATTACCCTGCTGTCTGCTGCCTAGACAAGCAGAAAAACATCCAGTTTCTGGACCCCACCTGGGCTAAGGTACAAGTTATGTGCCAAACTGCTTAGATTAGGGCTGTCTGGGCACATGACTAGGCACCTAGGGAACTTTAACATGAAATAGGGAAGTGTCTTCTAAATAAAGTTATTTCCAGGGTTAAGTGGTAGTGGAGTGAAGTTTCTGGACTGTAGGTTCAAACTTGGATGCCTCGGTTTCACCTCAATCCTGCTACAGGCACTTAATCTTATATTGGAGCTAGCCCTTTGGTGTATTTATTCCAAGATTCTGACCATTCTCATGGGGCTAAAACTGGCTGTATTGAAGTGGCATATATATTTGTAACCCATTATATCATATCTGATTAATCAGACTCTTTCAACCTTTTTTCTAGCTATGGCTAGATAATTTGATTTGAAGCTTCATGTTATAATGTTATATAAGTATATTCATCTACCAAAATAAGTCTTACTGACTGTACCAAGGATTTTAAAGGGACATTGTTAAAATAATGGACGAACATTCATATTAGGAGTTGCCCAAAACTTTGAAACATAACCCCCCATCCTCCCATATAAGTTGCTCTTTTGAAAGTTTTCCATCTCAAATCAGAGAGCAGGCAGAGCTCAAGTCCTCATGAATTTTCTGTCTGAATTCCCTCCCTGGTGCTTTTGCAAAGGGAGTATTTTTTTCCTTGGAAAATCCCCAAACAGTTCCCTTTTTCCATGCCTCTCCTAGGCTTGCTGTCTTACACATACCCTTTTTTTCCAGCACAAATCCTGTACAGTTGAAAGGCTTTGGGCTCTGAGTCTGAACCTCTTATATAAAGTGAATGACACCATTGGATGACTAGGCCCTTAAGCTTATTCACTTGGTGAAGCTTTATGTCTGGATAACCATGCTACCCACCTGCTGCAAGTGGCTATGATAACTTTCATTTTTAATTCAAGCATGCCAATGACATATAGTTGTCAGAATGAGCTGAAGTAAAAAACAGTAATCTGAAAATCAGTCACCCAAACTTTCCAAGAAATACAAGAAATGTGAAGAAGATCAGGAGTTGTCTGGAAATATGATTCACTGCTCAGGATTGGTTGTTCTTCATAAAAATACCATTCATGGCTTTGGATGGAAAAGACATTGAAATCTTGTCAATTTAACCCAGCCAAATCTCTGGTCCCTATCTAAGCTTTTTTTGGACATTGTATTGAAAATTGATTAAGTAGG